GTGAGACAGGTTAGTGTCTCCAAGGCAATGCTATGCTCAGTACTACCCAAGGGATCACATGGACTGTAATTATCTGCATGGCTCTGTAGGCATATTTGCCTAGAGCATAATGGTCATAAAATTAGGAAGAAGTCAGTCCCTAGCAATTCACATTTGAACCAAGAATGAAACTGCAGTCTTGCTGCTGCTTTAACAAAGTGCATAATTTCACTCTTACTCCAAAACTATTTTACAGAAATTGGCACACTTATTACTAAGTTAATAGAAAAATTCCAGTTGAACTCTACAAGACTTTTTTTCCTATTACAGTAACATCACAGAGCTCCACTTAGTAAAAATGAGTGCTTAAACGTTCTGACAATTTCTTCACTGAACATAAATTCTACTCCAAGAATAAGCATCTGTGAGCCTGAGAGAAGATGCAGTTCTTTATGACTTGAAATGCACAGAACAGGGATGTCTTGTGGTTGAGCAGTGGCTGGAAATCTTTTGAGTTTGAGTTGGGTTTTCCAGCTTTTGGCTTTGTATAACGTAACAGTGGTCACTGGAGCTACAATCTTATATATTACCAGTAAAAAAATAATAATAAAAATAATTCCTGTTAAAGCATCACTGGAAGTTGTAGCTACATACAAATGTGCATGCACAGTGTGACTGGCTGAGTGGAACTCAAGAATCCAATGGCTTTAAAATATTAACAGAAATTCATATCACCCCCTTCCCTCGCAACTTCCCTCCTCACACAAAATCCCCAGACTTGACAGCCAGCTTACTATAATCAAGATACTCTTTACTTCTTCCAGAGGCAAAATCCTGCTTTTTCTGAAACTAGAACAGTAATGACAAAGTAAGTCATTGTCAAGAGCTGACTTCCACTGCAAGCATGACTTGTGACTGATAGATCCCATTGTTATATTTCTCAAGAAGATCTGCAATACTGTTTAGTCAGTGACATGAAAAATGTGCCCTATAATTTCACAGTTCACAGCCATTCATTCTGAGTGCTGACATGGTTGAAATCATAATGTGGCTTAATATTGTTATGCAAGATAAAGACAGAGGGCCTAATTAAACTCCCCTTAAATGTTACATTCATCCTTGTTAATAAAGAATTTGGGATTCTTAAGGTAATATTGAGGGAAGTTAAAATGGGTTTCTGTGGCTTATTTGGTTACATGGAAACACAGATTCTCAATTCTATCATCTTTGGCTTCAATATCAATATATTAAGTATGATTTATGTCAACAGAGTAGAGTAGATGGAAAAATTTAGGAATAGAGTCTTCTGACAAGTATTGTCAGGAGTGATAAAGTCTGGCTTCAGGTTGATGGGTTCCCTGCACAACTAGGAATCAGTGGATTGAGAATTCCTGGTACTCCTGCTTTAGGGAGGCTTTAGCAATTTAATTCAGGCCTTTTTTTTCTATTCCTGAGACTCATCAAACAGATAAGGATTAATTTATTTATTTTTTCTTTTTTTCTGTTCTCAAAAAAAGGGACACTGCTCTTCAGGATAACTGCCTCATCAGTCTGGATATAGTTTTGCTCTCTACCCTGCCTCCTTTTACACTAGGAGTGGGTAAGAAAAAAATAGGTGCTACAGCAACATGTACATTAATCTTTCCTCCAGACCTTGGCAACTGTTAGGAAAAAACAAGCAGAAAGACATTAACATAGATAAGACAAAGTAAGGGAGTTCCCCCAACTCCATGAGAGGCAAAAACCAGTACACCAAAGCTAAGCACCAACTGGTTTGATGGGATTGTCCTGAAGCCTTGTAAAGTAAGATATAAGCAGTCAAGGAGAGAAGAGGCTGAACACCTGTCCAAGAGAGGCAGAGAATATCAGGAAGAAGAGGGCAAAAAGAAACAACAGGGGAGACTTCTAGGTGTTCACCACCAGGAGCAACTGAGGAATCAAGGGCTCCTGGGGACTCTCCAGGGTGTGAACACCAATAAGTGTTTAAAACATTTCCACTGACTTCCACCAGCTCTTATAGCACCAACCCCAAAGTTATGATGATGTAATGTGAAGCAAAATGTGGCCCAGTAGTAAAAGATCCAATTCCCAAAGTCAATGGCTGGTCCATTGTCCAGTGGCTCAGTGAAATGACAAATAAACAAACACGATCACTTTTAGTTCAGTGCCCATTAGGTTCAGCCTTATCACCCACACGCTCTGATGTTCAAGAATGAAGCCTCATTAATATACACACTTAGTTTGCAGTACAGGAAAATGCACTTTACGTGAAGAGAAGCAGAGGTAGCCACCCCTCAGAAGGACCAGCACCCGTTAGTTGGAAATGGTGACATTAATAAATATGACTTTGCTCCCATTTCCAGACTAGCAGAGCTATTAAGCACACAGCCACTGCCCAGGCTGTGGGTTAACAGGCAGCAGGGTAGGGGGATCCATCACAGGCTGTTCTAATCCAAAATGGTTCATCCCAAACAAATGGAGACTTACTGGTTTCATATCTGTGTAATTCCACTAAATTAAAGATACGGTGACATAAGGTGACCAAAATAAAAGGATGTCAACTGCCAAGCAAAAACTGGCTTTCAAAATTCAACAGCTAAGACTTCACCACTAAGACCATGTACCTCTGCTTCCAGAAACCATTTATACTACATGGGGCCAGTTGGATACAGGTGCAGCTCAAAAGGTTGCACACACACACAGACACACACACACATATATATCTAATTTACATGCTTCAGATATTTTTGTCAGTCTTTCATATTCCTGTGAAACTCCCTGCAGTTTGGGTTCCGTTTCTAAGTTCTCCAGCTTCAAACACAGCATTTCATTTCTACTTAATGAATTAGATATGCTGTAGAGCTATAATAAACTTCCCTTATGAAGATATTTCTGAAGCACTGAGCCACATTGCTTACTGAGAATAAATATCATAATAATATATTTACATAAATAATTTAAAATCCAAGAGCACAGTAGGTAATAAAAGTATATTGCCATGATAAACCATGAAACCAGAGAACAACGTTGCTTTAATTAAAAATTACAGATACACTGCAGTCAACAAATTATTTACACATAGTTAAAAGTCTAACTATTGAGTGTCTTGGACTTGTTGAATCCAAAAAAGGGAAAACTACTAAACCAAATCTCTTCACACAGACAAATATTGAGGACCATAACTGTGTTTAATTAAGATCTACTGTTAATAATGGATTTCAGAGTGAGGCTCTTCTTTTAATTTCCCAAGGTAGAAAATGTTATTAAATTTGGCCTTTAACTTCTCATTGACATGTACACTTGAAACTTCTGATTAAAATTTCAGAGGTTGAGAAAAAGCACCCAAAATTAAACTCTTAAATCTGGCACAAAAATAACAATGATCCCTGATTAAGAAATCAAATTTCAGAAAGTTCATTACTGTTCTATTAATAAATTGCTGGTTTATAATTAAAATGGGGCCTGCTGGATTTCTTTCATATTTTAATTCTAAAAAGTTAGAAACTGTAGAGGGAATTAAATACTTAAAAAAAAAAAAAAAAAAGTTAATGAATCCTAGAAATGTGATCCAGCTCAAACAGGTTCCTTCTCTTTCTGGGCACGATCACAGTGGAACAAACATTCTTTTCCACCCAGAGGTATGCATGCATTCAGGAAAAAGCCCTGGTTCTGTTTGCTTCTTCCTTTCTACAGCATCCACAGCCCAAACTCACTGTGCTCATTGCAGACTTTTCCCAGGAAACCACAGCTCTGGGTGGAGCTGTGACAGTCAGTGTTCACCTGGTTTTAAACAGGTGTAATTTAGAGTACGATTAAACTTGACACTTACATTATTTAGCTGCTCAAACTGAGCACGAGGTTCTTGTTTCCAGAATGATATTCCTACCTCTGAGTTTCTTTGAAATGTTAACATCAATACACCAGGGAAGAGCTGACACCATGAAAGTTCACTGCTAATCCTGTGCAGACAAAGAGCCAGAGCTCAAGTATTGGCTTCCAAATCTAACAAACACAAGGAGCAATATTTTTTCAGTGCAATATATTTTTGGAGCTTTTAAATGAAATTCTCTCTCAGTCTGCAAAAACACTTCAAGCTGAAGACCAAGAAAGAAAATTGTTTTAAAAGTACAGCTGTCTTTAGGAATTTTTGCAAATAAGATGTGTTTTTCAGAGAGAAGAAATTTGAATCTGATTCAGATGTTCAAAGAATAAATTCAATTTAGATGGGGACAATGGTAGAAATGGTTTCCAAACACAATCCATGGTTCTTAGAATGCGTTTATGATGTTGTATCTAGTAGAGTAACTAAATTTCCTGATTACAAATAATCACAGCCTCTCCTACAAGCTTTATATAGAAAACTAACAAAAAATATCTCTGTTGTCGATCATCTCAGTTGTTATAGGTTGAAAATTTGTTTTACAATAATATTAATTCTCTGTTGGTGTTTTTTGGTTTTATCTGCACATTTTGAACAGATACAGACTTTGTTGGGGTGATGTACATTGTTCACACAGCACACACAATATGAATCTGGCATTCACTGCTTCTTGCAGACATAAAACATTGCTTGCTCAGTCATTGATATTTAGTGCAATATCTCATTTAGCAGCCTGTGTTGTACCTGCTTGGCCTTTATTTTACCAGTATAATCACAGAAAGGACTCTGATGACACAATTTATAGCAGCATAGTCTAACAACCCATGTAGTTTGGTGTGCATTCTCTGTAAAAGTCCTGGACCTAGGCCCAAACTCTAACCACACACCAGACTGTAGGACCTCACAAGGAAACACTTCTGCCAGACCCAAACTAGTGAGTACCTTTGTCCTTCAGACATGCAATTTTACACTATCCTTAATTGTAGATGCTGTTCTCATATACTACAGCCTTCCTTTTTCACTGCTAGCAGTGATGATGTAGAAGTCAAACAACTTAAATTCTGTACTGGCAGGCAAATTCTCAGGCACAAAAGACACATTTGCTTTGTGATGGATGAAAATTAAAGGGCACTGCACTCACCTGATAGTCTGATGTTGCAAAGTATCTGGATCAGTGGCATTCACTGTTAACACAACACTGCCAGCAGGAA